ACGAAACAGCTCGCAAAAGGAGGCAAAAGGAAAAAAAAATAACCACGGAACTAAGCAAAAACAAAGCTTTTTTCCTTCTTTTTTTTTTTTTTTTTTTTTTGCACACCGCAGTTAGGACTTTGGAGTCGCGCGCCGCGCGCAAGGAGGTAAGAAAGAGAAACGGAGAAGCCCTCTAAGCAAACGAAACAGCTTGCGAAAGGCGGCAAAAAAAAAAAAGAACAACCCACGGAACTAATAGCATCTTCGATCAACTCGCACTGGAGCCGCCCCGAAACCAGCACGGTGCGCAGTGCCCCTCGGTGGTGGAGCACGAAGTCGGTGCAACATCGAAGACAAACTGCACCGCGCCTGTGTCGGCGGTAGCGCCACCATGCGTCACCTGGATTTTGGCGCGCATTGCAATTGAGCAGACGCTTTTCTCTTTTTGACAGCTGTCAGCGGGCTTGGCCTTCCTTTTTGTTTGCGTGCTCTTTTTGCAGTGGTAAAAGATGAACACGGTTGAGGTTTTTGTGAATGGTGCCAGACATCGCGTGACGTTATCCAAGGCGGACCTCGACGATCTGATGGCCGGCGAGTTGTTTTTTTTTCTAAAAAAAATAAGAGTTGGCGTACAGTTTTGCTTGATACATGACTTATGTCCTTTTATGCATCACTGACGAGGGATCAGATTATTTCATTTAAAGTTTTGTATCAAACAGATTCGTCGAGGTTGCAAGCCTGGGCATCCTCGTTTGCCGGCGGCGCAGGACCTCCGACGGTCGGCGACGCAGGACCTTCGACGATCGGCGCCGCAGGACCTTCGACGATCGGCGGCGCAGGACCTTCGACGATCGGCGGTGCAGGACCTTCGACGATCGGCGGTGCAGGACCTTCGACGATCGTCGGCGCAGGACCTTCGACGATCGGCGGCGCAGGACCTTCGACGGTCGGCAGTGCAGTACAACCTTCGACGGCCATCAGCGGTGCGTATTTGTCTATGACTTTTTTTTTTTTTTTATGTGCATACTTCAAGTTTCCAGAGCAAGGGCATACAAACCTGCCGTCCAACTTTTCACTCAGCAACAGGAGAAGCGCCTTCTGTGTTGCTCCATGAACGGATACATCCCGTGTGAGCCAAATGCATCGCTGGCCTGAAGGGACCGCACTACTACGAGTTTGTACAGGGGGACGAAGGTGGTAAATTTTGTGTATAAAATTTCCAAAGAATGAGCTTACCAGAGTGTGAATTAGCTACCTATGGCGGCCGTCTTCAAGTGAAAGAGAGGTGATACAAGAGCCAAGAGATGGCAGCAGTTTGACATATGTTGGCAAGGTGATTGGACTTCATATCTTATTTTCACACTGGTGATTTAATTAGTTATTTGAAATTTCGATGCACTAAATGCACTATTTTTGGCCACCTCTGTACAAAATATTAGCGTGATGCATTAAGAAACCAATTTATGCAGTTCCTTCAAAGGGACAAAGATTTAGTTGACTCGCACGGTAGGTTCAATTGAGATTTTCAGAGGATGTTGTAGTGTGCTATTAACAATCTCAAGAAGTTCATGGTGTGTGCTGCTGCGACGAGATGGCACCACTTGTCCGGCAGTGGCATATCTGCCCGTGTGAACGGCAGTGCTGATCCCTGTGGATCTGAATGTCTGTCTGCTGGTCACGAGGAAAGAAGTCTTCATCGAAACTCCGAGCTGGCTTGACGTCTTTCCGTTCACCGGGATTCGCACATGGATCCCGGGACACCGGCATCTCGCGCCCCACAATTTAAGCCTTTCAGCATTTTTACAAGCCTTTTGAGGCACTCTTTATCGTCGCTTTTCCTGTCTCTTTCTACGCATTCATAGTGGCCATCCACGACCACTACAGATGTCATCCTCAAAAGCTCCAAACAATTTTTCAGGTCAACCTGATTTATGTGGGCAGGTGCACCTTTAGTCATATTTCGAATGGTCAACGGCTACGGTTCTTCACTGATCAAGCCGTTCACATTATTCAACCACGAAGCAAGGACAAGTTACATTGGAAATTCGCTACACCCCAAATCCAGCAACGTACAAGTTTCCGGACGGTCAAACGTGCAATGCCTCCAAGTTAACAATGACGTCCACTCTTTCAGAACAACACAATACAAATTCCTACTGGGATGACGATGGTGATCTTCTGGGAATCCTGTTCAATGTGGTCATGTGTACCTGCTTATTTCACGAGTTACCCAGTTGCAGCTGGGCACCTGCTGTGCCAAGTCCATTTCAGGTGACAGTGCTTGCCTGTGCTCCTGATCCAAACTTCTGCTGTCCGAGGGTCCCAACGTTCATGATCCTGTCCAGCCTTTTTCACCGGTGACTACGAGCGCCCTCATTGTGTCTTGTCCAGGCATGCCTTCGTCACTGCCTCCTCTTCCAGGCAGCACAGGTGTGAGTGATGGTGATAATAATGTGCATGTCAATCAGCAACTTCTGAGCCGACCACATTGCAAGGCCGGCCAGTTTATCAAAAAAGAAACTTCCGACACCTCTCAAGAACTATGTACTCTCCTGCCACAAGACATCACCTTTTCTTTATGAGTCTATTGATCATATTTAATTTTAGCTGAATGTTTTTGATTTCCAGTACCGGAGTGTTCAGTGTTTTCTTTTTCTTCTCCAAGCCAAATGCTTATACGACATGACATGTGCATTTCCTATATGGATATCAACTCACTCTTTCGTTAGGATGGACAAGGGTGTGTGCTTTGCCTGGTGTGGTGACATCATTCCATTTTTGTTGCAATGAATTTGTTAATTTTTTGCTCTGAAGCATGTGAAAGTGTGTTCCAGACAAGCTTTTAGTATTGACTGTGCTATGGCAGCATTTTATTCCCATCTATTTCTTTGCACTTTCCTTACGATGCAGCTGTTGGCATCAGGTACTACACAGAGTGGTATCACCCTTCGTAAAACGCACGTGAAAGCGTTCTAAGATGAACTGATGTGGCAGTGCAACTAGCACCATATCATAATCTGCACACAGTACATAGTGCATAGGATGGTGAAGAAAGCGAAACAACTCAGGCAAGCTGATGAATGACATCCATAGCAAAACCGAGACAAGCTGTGTTTAGCACTTTGTTTTTCTGTCTTTTTTTATTATTCCTGTCTCAGGTTTACTATGGAGGCCATAAAAGGGTACAGCAGCTGCTGCAGGTCCCTTGACTGCTCAACCTGTTTGGAGCCTCCTGGGCTGGGTTATATCCATAACAAACACCTACAACTTGGGTTGTGAATTTACACAGTGTATTTTTTATATGCTTACACTTTCTCTGGTGACCTGGTAGTTTTGTTTTGTTATTGAAGGGGGAAAAGTTATAGTGTGTCTTGAATTGCTTCCCAAAAGGCAATTGAAAAGGATTTTTCAATTGCCTTTTGGGAAGCAATGACTTTGTGCTGGAGATTAAAGGAACAGTGCTGCTACTTAACCACTTGAAGTGATTTTCAAGATTTGTGTATAGTGAGATTTTAACCTGCCACATTCTTCCTTCTAGCTGTTATTGTATAAGGGAGGGACACTGTTGTATTTGTAAATAATATTTTTATTCACTAAAATCATTACTTCGATTATGCCATTTGTATGTGTATGTTCCGTGTTTGTTTCATTTCACGCTTGGCATCACAATTGAACTGGTACATATTAAACATTCTAAGGCAACCACCTTAGACCCATTGTTCATCAGCACCAGTGAGTCTTGTCTCATTCTTCACAATGGGTTCCACCTCGGAGCTGCCAAGCCTTCATCGGCATCAAGGAAGCACCGTCTCTTCTGTCGGGGCTAGTCTAGGTCCTACTCCTGCTCCAGACTATGGTCACAGCACGCTCGTTCGATTTACTTGCACCTCCTGCGCCGGTGCCGAAAGTCTAGGGTAGTGTACTTCCGGGTGTAGCTTAATACACATACCGGAAGTACATTGCCCTACACTTTTCTGTACCGGTGCAGGAGGTGCAAGTAAATTGAACGAGCCTTGTGATGACCGTCCTTCATAAGAGACAAGGGATTGTACTGCTTCGGGACGCATGATGTGTATCAGTCAACACAAGCATATACATTAGCACAGCCCTATAATTTGTAGTGCAATGTAGGTTGCCGAGAGTCCTTGTTGGGTTTTGCCAGGATGTTCTATATTCTATTTCAGCATGAGCTGACAAAGGGAGAAAGTTTGAACCTCGTGAGCCAGTCGGGGCAACAGAGCAAAGTATGTCAAGAGCTCGGTTAACACTGTCGGTATACATTGTCATGTGCTTCCCTCAAACACTCCAATGGGCTCACTGGGACCCTACTGTTTGCCAAGTTATGCTGAAACAGCAGTCCCTAGACTCCCTACTCGCTTTTTAAAATTAAAATACACCATGGACAACTTAAATAATGCAAATGGCTTCTCTGTTGCAATAAATTTTAAACTTATTTTATATTAAACAAGATTTAGCTACTATTATTAGTTCTAAATATTTCAGTGTGTTGATCTAAGCTTATTTTTTGCTTCCAGAGTCTGAAGAGACAACAGGTAACCGTTTTTTTCAAGGAAAGGACTGCATCCTGCCTGATGGTGCTCCAACCCAGAGTGAATGGAGTGAAGGAGAAACCAGGCTGCTTCTTGATAAATATCAGAGTTATCTGAGCCAAGTGGGGCCCATGAAAACCTTTAAAAACAAAAAAGCCATGTGGGCAGCCATCTCGGAGGACATTGCTAATGACCTTGGCTCCCACAAAACAGCAGATCAATGTCAGAACCGCTTTAAAACTATAAAGAAACGCCGGACAGAACGAAAACAACACAACGCCTCATCAGGTGCAAATCCCGTTTCTGTTCCCTACAATGAGGAATTTGAAAAAATCAAGTCCATTGACGACAGCATAGAACCGGAGCTTCTTAGAGGACCTGGGCGAGTCGAGTTTAAGTCCTCGGCCACTCCACACAGTTTGGATAGTTCTAAGCCAGAATATGCCAAAGATACACCGCCCATGAAGAAGCAGAAGGTGAACCCTGTGTGCGAAATGATGTGGAAGATACACATGCACAGAGAAGAGCAGCGGGAACGTCGCCACAAAGAGAAGCTGGAGGTTTTGCGCAGTCTTCTGGCGCCTGAAAAGGATCTTGAAGCCTAATGGTAGACGTGTAGATGTAAGGATTATCAGCCAAGACGTGCTTTTATATGGACAGACTTCCATTCCTTTTTTGTATTTATAAATATTAAATTTAATGGAGTTATTTTTCTAGTTGGTTTCTGAGGCTGTAGAAACTATGTATGCTATTGCTTTGCAGAACACAGGATCAGGTCAAATGCATAATTACTTTATTATGTTATTTCCTTACAACAGAGTGCACAAAAAAGTTGGCAGGTGCCGCACACTTTCCTACAACAAAGTGGTGCACAGGAACGTTGACAAGTTACTGGACTGTGCGAAGGTAGCATGCAATTTTTTTTCTCTTTTCTTCACCCAGTTGTTTTAGTAGCTTCTCCCTCTTGGGGTTTTCTTTAGCCCAAGCGTCGCCCGGGCCTGGCTTGCGACCCTTGCTTGCATTTTTTACTTCTTCCTCATCTATATCTGTGTCTCCTGCGTCGATACACAAATTGTGCAAGACGCAACACGCAAGAATAAACTGTGTGGCCTTGTTGACACTCCAGAACTCAAGGTATAAAAGCTGCCTGAAGCGTCCCTTCAGTAGCCCAAAGGCATTTTCTATTCGGACACGTGTCTGGCTCAGCTTTAAGTTGTAGTTCACCTCGTCCGGCACGAGTTTGCCGTAGTTCCTAAATGGAGTTAGGAGGTACTCTCTTATGGGGTACGCTGCATCTCCTAGTATATGATACTTGTCACCCTCACAGATTTGTGGCAAGTCATCCAAGACAAAGGACCGCCTGAATGCCTGTGCGTCGTGTGTTTTCCCCGTGTGCCCGAGAAAGACATCTAGGAACTTTCGATCAGAATCGCAAATTGCTTGCATGCTGTAGGACTTCTTATCGTGTCTGTTCGTATACGTGGATGGAATTTTATGTGCAGGGCATCTGGTGTCCACATAGGTGCCATCCACACAGCCCAAAACACGAGGGAAGCCTGAAATCTGAAGTTAATTTGTGATCAGTACTTTTTCAAGCAGGTGCAAAACTAACTTTACCTTTTCGAATTTCGCACTAGCCGCAACCTTAGCTTGTGCAGATATGGGAAAATGAATGACGTCGGTACTGATGCTTTCCAAGAAGCTTGCCACCCGCTCGACGATGTCATGAAGAGTGCTTTCTGCCATGCCAAATATCACTGCGACGGCTCGCTCACTTAGTTTGTTTCCAGCAAACCTGAAAAAAAAAAAAAAAAAGTACTTTTCCTGTCATATTCAAAGCTCAGATTGAGAGTAATCTTCCGACCTAACTTACTCACCAAAGGAAGGAAAGTACATGTTCTTCAGCAGTCTTCCGGGGGTAGGGACCATGGCCACGAGGATAGAACTCCGACTTCTCATAGTCAGCTATCACTTTGTAGCACACGTCTCGGGCTACCCGGAAATGCTTTCGGAACTGAAAAAAAAACAACAACAAAATATATCTTTCCCATTATCACTGGTTTAAGAAAGAGTACCACCAGATAATAGCCGTACCTCGGTGTTATCGAAGCGCCTCACAACGCTCTCCACGAAGTTCATGACTTTCGGGCGCTCTTTGCCACCGCAGCAATCACCGGTAATCGCGGCGATGGTAAAAAACTCGTCGTCCTCGCTGTCCGAAGAGCTAAGGAACTCATCGAGTGCCGCTGCGAGGAGTGCTCGTTTTCGTAAGGTCGCCATCTCGACAAACTGCGCGTCTGCTACTCCCGCCATCTTCTCGATTCCCGCTCCAGGCCGCAATGCCTGATGGGACTGCACCCCGGCGCACCGTCGATTTTCTTGGTGCACGTTGGGGCAACGAAAAGCCGCACCGGGAGGGTGCGCACCGTTGATCGAGCACGTCGGATGCGCACCGGTGCAGTTGGTCGAAGACGACGGGGCGCTACTCAGTGCACCGGTGCGCACCGGTGCGGATGATCGAGGATGCTATAAGAGACAAAAACACAGAGGAACTTTTCTTCGTTTCTTTTTGCACAGCGCAGTTTGGTTACGGAGGGGAGGGGGGGGGGGGGGGGGGGGTCGCGCGTCGGGCGCCGGGCGCAAGGAGATAAGAAAGACAAGTGGAAAAGCACTCGCCTAAGCAAACGAAAGAACTTGCGAAAAACAGGCGGCAAAAAAAAAACCCAAGGAACTATAAAAACGAAAACAAAAGGAGCTTTTTTTTTTTTTTTTTGCACGGCCCAGTTTGGTTACGGGACGCGCGCCGCGTGCAAAGAGATAAGAAGTTACGTCGATTTTTCGTGATAAGAAGTCCGTTCATTGTGCGAGTAAATACGGACGAAAAATTTTTAATTCGCGTAATAAGCGCCCCCCCCCCCCCCCCCCTAACTTTGCATCGATTTTTCGGAAAAAGGTGCCTTCATTCTGCGAGTAAATACGGTATAACTCATATATCACAGATGTAACAGAAGGAAGGCAACACTTACGGGAACAATTAAACGACTATTCGCTCATACTGCCAGCTGAATGGGGCTCTAACGCGCAGCCTGCAGCTCAGTGAGCTCCTCGCAGAAAGAATCGCGTGCTTTTATTCTACAGATTAGTCACATTATTCATGCAATCTGGCATAGACCAATCTCCCTAGGCGTTCGGCGCATGCGTGTCGCCGCCATAACTTTAGTTCAGAAGAGGCAGACGGTCGTGCATGCGAGGCCTCCTGTCGCCTCGTGCTCCACTCGCGCAGACCTCCAGCGGGGTTGTCGCACGTGCAGAAAGAGTAAAGTTCCCTCGATGCATTGCGGCAGCGATGGCTTAGTCAAACTGGCTGGTGAGATCGGTCTATTAGGACTTGCCGCTTCACGAAAAACGATATGAATAGCCACACCGGGTCGTGTCGGGCGGACTACTCCTCCTTCGCCGATAACGAGCGCCATGGCTGCCGCTGCGGTGTAAAGTAGAACTATTATATAAAAAAAAAAAGCGCGAATAACACTCGGACAAGAAGGAGAGAACACACAGGACGAGGCGCTGATTATCCGTGTGTTATTCGCGCTGTTTTTTAAAATGGATTCATACCAACTCGCCCAACTTCCCATTCTAGAACTATCACTCCCAGCGGCGGAATGAAGCATACGGTAGGCCGCTCCCAAGGGGAGTCCTAATCGAGCGGCCGTGACTAGGGTGCCTCAATGTCCTTCTGTTAAGGGTGATGCCACCCTTTGTAGTACCCGATGCCGACCAGCACGCGCTCACGGGTAAAATACAAAGAAAATGACGAAAACAAAATGTCGCCATAGCACAGTCAGCGCCAAAAGCGCGTGCAGGGACACGCTCTTTCACGTGCTTCTGAACAAAAAAGAAAAATAAATGTGTGGGACAAAATGGCGAGATGTCTCCACCCTAAGCAAAGCGCACATGAAGGCACCCTAGCCGTGACCATACTCTCGATACCACGACCTGCTCTATAGTACTTGCGACCACTGCATCTACAGGGTGAAACAAGGAGACGGCAGGCTCTTTAAATCGACCGCAAAATTCGGTTTCTTAACCTATCACGCTACGACCTTGTGCAGCGTTGCCCACAGTTAGTGCATTTTTTTTTTTTTGTAAAATTTGCAAAGAGCCAACTTACCTGAGGAAAAAGTAAAGAAACAAAAAGGCTTAGCTCCAATCTGGCTCCAATGGAAACGCAGCGACGCCACCGGTCCGCAAACAACACCGCGCTGTTTCGCACGGGAGACAAGAGATGGCGCAGGCGATCGCTACGCCAACTGCCACCAACGAACGAGCAGACGACGCCGAGAGTCGGCGTATTTAGCAGACAAACAACTGCAGTTCCTTGTCGTTACCGCGCCTGTTTTTGTTTCTGCGACTATCGCCGCCTGCGGAACGCGCGCCGCTTTTGAGTCGAAAAGATTGTCCGCTAAAGACGCTGGCTCTTGGCGCCGTATGCTCGTTCGTTGGCGGCGTAGCGTGAGAGGTTAAGAAACCGAATTTTGCGATCGATTTAAAGAGCCTGCCGTCTCCTTGTTTCACCCTGTAGATACACTCCAGCACGCACCTCTCGTAGGGCCGAGTTTCAGCGGCGCGTCGGTAGCGGGGCCTGGAACTCGGTATTCTTTTTTGCCTTTTTCCGCGCTGCACCAGGTTATGTTGGCCTCTCTGGCGTTGGCTGCGCAAACTAAAAAAAACAACAAAACAAACAAAGTAACGTATTGGACTCCTTCCTTTACATAGAGAAAAACATTTTACAGCGTGAATGCGTTGAAACCCGAAAGCGGGATCAGCTGGCACGCACGCACGGGTAACAGAAGAAGCTGACGAGGTAGGAGGGCCGAGATTTTGTGCCGAGACCGCCTCTCACTAGGCGGCGCTGAAATTCGGCCCTCAGCCTGGAGCAGGCTCTTCGATAGGGAGCGCGCAGATAAAGTGGTCGTAAGTATAGAGTTGGACGTGCTCGATACAAAAAGATTACGCCGCAAATATACATACAAATATACAAGCGTGCGCCCCGCAGTAACAGTCTCTATCGGCGAATGCAATGGCCTGAGGAACGCAGCCAGCGAGCGAAAAATCTCGGAGGCCATTTGGGAAGATGCTTTGCGCGACACTAAGCCGCTAGGATCGCTTCGATTTTGCAAGAGTTCTATTGGGGTTTTGACAAAAATCCACCAGAGAACTACCCCGGCGAATATGCTCCACGCGGGTCACGTGCGTCACGTGCCCATGGATAACATATGGTTCGATTTTCATGGCGACTTGCAGCTGCTCCTTTCTCTTCGTAGCTCAGAGACCAGGCCGGTTCACTATGAACGTCTCAACCAACAGAAAAGTGCCAGCCACTGGTGGAACCATAGACAGCAGTCGAATCTTGAGCGTCACCGTGATAGCGTGCGGGATAATGGCGTTTGCTTCCCTGACTCTCGCCTTAGTGATTCTCGTCGTGATGACCGACACAAAAGGAACTGCCCCGAGAAACGACACCAGCTACTGCTGTCCCGACGTGGCATCACAGCTCATCGTGGCCGCCAATTTCAGCTTGGACCCTTGTGGAGCTTACACCAAGTACGCTTGCCACAACATGGACGCCCTCAGCAGAAAGAAAGTAGACAACCAGTCCTTAAAGGCGCTTCGTATATCCGCCACCATTGGTCTATTTCGAAGTCCCGCCGGAAAATATATCGCCGCGTTTCATCGAAGCTGCCTGTTTACCCTAGGCCAGGGCTCCGATCTGCCCGAGAAAGCCATGACCGCACTTCTAGAAACGACCGGAGTTTCGAAAACCATGAGTCGGACGGACGTTCTTCGCGTTCTGATTCAGCTGTCCGTGCTGCACGGCCTTCACACACCGGTCGCTATAAAAGTGCTCCCACTTTACGAAGGAAACAACGTTTTCACCATGGCCCCCGATGTGCAGTCAACCTTCGCCGGAGGTAGATACGATTACGTGCGTCAAAAAGTGCTCACCGTGTACAACCAAATATTGCGAGTCAACGTGTCAAAAGAGGACATGTCGAAACTGCACTCGTCGTCACCAAAAACGAAGCTAGAGAGTATGACGTGTAATGATAGCTTTCAGGTCTTGCACACACTCATTTCAGGCGTTTCTCAGCAAGAGTGGATCGCCATGGCAGCTCCATTTCACCTCGGGCCAACACCGAGTGCTATGTGTTACAAGGACATCGACCTCATTTCGGAAATATTGCACGCCCTGACCTCGGAATCCGTACGTCGGGAAGTTCAGCTTGCTCTTCTCTTGGTCATGTGCAGCGTCGACCTCGTCTTGCGTCGCTACGCGCATCAACCGAACATCAATTCTCTATTTTCGAGATGCCAGAGTTTGACCAACAAACTAACGCCCCTCTGGAGAATAATCGCCCTCGAACAACTAACGGATTCACAGAGGGACCGCGATGTACGGGGCATTTTCATCGCCACGAAGAAGGCCGTCATTGGTGACGTGCTGGAGCTTTTGCATCCTGCAGACGCGAAGGAAGCTGAACGCCTCCTGTCCACAGTACGCCTTGTTCTACCAAAACAGCTGATCCCCGATGATCTGCCGCTCCCAGAAGCCGCACCCAACTACTTTATAAACGCGCTTAAAATGAAGCTGTACCGAGTCACTGTAGACAAGCGGCTTGAGGCGTTTGTCCTAGACCCATATGAGTTACACCACGCGTTGCTGGAGACGACCATCAGGCGTCTCCATAACGACGTCATTCTGGTGCCTTCCTTAGCCTACCCCTCGTTCAGGTTCGGCAACGACGTGGATCCCGCCATCAACGCGGCTACGGTGGGCGTGGAGATGGCTTTCGAGATGTGGAGTCTCGTGTTCGACTTCGACAACTGGTCCAAGGAAAGTGCCTCCAGAATACAAGAGCACATCGCTTGTTCTTCCGTCGGGATCTCGCAAGGCCGCCCTTTGCACACCAAGGCCCGCCTGTCCATCAAATCGGCGTCCGCATCCGTGCGAGCAGTTGGCAGACCCTGGCACCTGCCTCAGTACGTCTGGGGCCACAACCGTCTGTCCAGGGCACAGATGTTCTACATGAAGTTCGCCACGCAATACTGCGCCGGGTGGAGGGGAACGAATTCGGTAGACGAAGTGCTTACGAGCCTTCGCGACTTCAGAGAAACCTACAGCTGCCCCCTTTCTGCGAGCAAGGCCGTCAACTGTTCTTTCGATTACTAATTTTAGGGATTCCGTCTAACCTTTCAGTATGCATTTCCGATTGATCTGTTCGCTCCTCACCCATCTTGTTTGATGCAACGCATCGGTTAT